CTAATGTCAAGCAACATAAAGTAATCTTACTCATGCTTGTTGTTTTTAATAAAAAGATCATTTCGTGTTTCTTAGGAATAAGTTAACGAGTCTTTTTATTTTTATTTTTTGTCATTTTTAATTTTTTTGTTTTTGTACCATCTGGGCAACATCAATGGGTTTTTACCCGATTTGTTGCTGTGGTGAAACCAAATAAACTTGTTTAAATGAACTTTACGAGTCATCGTCTGATTCAAAACAAATCGAAGGAATCCACGCATGAAATTTCATAAGAAATAAGCTAGCTGCTCTTGTTGAAGAAGCGCCCGCTTCTTCATTGACAGCTAAAAGAGTAAAATTTAGCGGATGTAGTTGGCTTTTCCTATCTCCCATGCCTCTTTTCTATTCATCCATTTTTCGCTTGGAAGCCATATTTTAGACAATGAGATATCTCCAAGGTTACTGAATGTCCATTTGTCATACAGTCTCAAATGGGAACATTATTTAAAGAAAATTGTCTAGCATTGTGAAAAAATGCTCGAAACTATGAACTAGAATGTTTGGGAACGTCTTAAGGCCCCCCTCCTCCTCAAAAATCGATCTCAGCCCTGGTCAATACAAATGGGCTGAAATTTGGAGCATATGTTGGGGCTGAAGTGCGAAGGTTGTGGTAAAATTTCGATACCTTGACATTTGATAGAGATATGAGCAAAACACGGGTCAAAAATAGGTCATCTTATCTCCAAAAAATCTCCATGGCCCTTCATTACATATACAATTATTTTTTTTTGTTTGAAAGCTTGTCTCTAGGCCTAGCCGACCTCGTGGCCCTTTTTTTTAAGTTCACCCTTTTAAGCGAAAAAAAACGGATGAAAAGTTTGATGACTCAAAAAACCCCCAAAAAATGGTGCCTTTTTCGGAGAGATGTGCTCTTATATGATAATAAAAGGCTTATTTTGAAAAAAGGGCCACAAGGTTGGCTAGCCCTAGAGACAAGCTTTCAAACAAAAAAAATATTTGGCTTCATATTGTACTGGGGGACAGTAGCGTTGAAGATACTTCGCCGAAACTATGTTCTGAGAAAAACGCGAAACAAGTTTTTGAAGTAGAAATTTTTCGAAAAAACATTGTTTAGTTTTGCAAATATCTCTGCACAGGCAAATGGTAGAATTTTGGTTTTTTTTTCAGAAGATCCGCCGTGAAAAACTCTACAAGAAACCATATGAACACATTCGAATTGACTCGTCCTCATGGTTTCTTCCATACTCAAAATGAAAAACATATATGATATGTTAGGTCCTGTTGTATTTAGAATAATGAAAATATTCGGAAGATGTTTTGAAAGAAAAAACCAATAGTGTTTCTGAGAGAGCAGAAGACGGGCTATCTCCCCATGCATTTATCTCGATTTCGAAATTTTTGACGAAAACTGACTTTTTTGAGGGGGAGGGGGGCCTTAAGGTTCATTAGGCATCATCTATACAAAATATGAGACTTCTGCTGCTCAAATCTTTGACAACGATTTCGTCATCCCCTGTGTCCCTCCCGAAGCCGCCCAAAGCTTTGCTATAACAACGAACATCTCGTCTTAGCGTTAGGCTCACCTGATTTAAAGTCGCATGCCTATACGACGACGAGCTAATAAACTTTTAATCTGCTCTTACGCCTCTTCGATAGTAAAGAATCAAAGCTGTACAACTCAAGTTTTTTCAACTGACTAACTTGTCTAGCTCTGTATATATAGAATAACGGAAATACTGTTCAACTGAAACGATTAAAATTTTGTTATTTTTACTTTTTTGCTAGTTTTACTTTTTGTCATTTTTTCTTCTTTTGTTTGATTTTGATTAAAAAACTAAAAATCAAACAAAAATCAAACTAAAAAAGGTTTTTTAATTTTTTAATTTTCTTTTTATGCAAACTTTCCCTTTTCTGCAAAGTCATCTAAAACAAAACTTACAAAATGTGCTGCAAAGCGGAAGATTGCAAACTGTAGAACTGGAAACACAAGTAAAACGCAGAAATACAGAAATTCAGGAATTCACAAATTTAGGGAAAGTAGGAATTCACGCAAAGGGGACGGACAGCAGGACGATGTTTAGCGCACAACATATCTTATTGATGTTAAATTCACGCTGTGTTTGTTTCATCTGAAACAAAAGTTACAAAATTTGCTGCAAAGTAGAAGATTGCAGACTGCAGAACTGGAAACACGAGTAAAAAGCAGGAATACAGTTAGGTAATGCACGTCGAAGCAAGCGACTGATATTGGCAATTCCTTTTCAGTCAAGGGATAAGTGCATCAGCATTAGGTCTGCAAAAGTTCAGCGTTCCTTTTTAGCGTTCTCTTGGACGTAAACATGACGTTTTTTGAACGTTAACGTTATTTTATATAAACGGTGTTGATCTTGTGTGGAATAAATATTATTGCAAAATGTTATACAGCAATTTCATCGAGTAGTATACCAAGTGAAACAGCTTTCTCCATTACCAGTTATATTTAGTGAAAAATCAACGCTCGTTTGTTCCGAATGGGTTAGGACAACAAAGAAAAACGCATGTAGTTACTGTAATCGTTTTGAATAAAGGGGTATCTTTTTTAAATTGCAATAATCTGGTCACTACCCTGAGAAGACCATCAGATCCTTCACTAGAATTTCGGTGGATCAGCTAAGACCAAGCAGAAATATATATGTTCTTACTACAGCACAAGAACAGAAGTTCATATTTACTTCAGACGATATAAACACCGTTCATACAAAAAAAGCTCACGTCCACCAGTGCTTCAGCGTTCACGTTCAAGGAACGAAACGTGAACTTATGTAGGCCTAATCAGCATGATGAAGGTTACTTGTTTTTTGGCGTCACTTGTAACCGTTCGTGAGAGGGCGTCACAACAAGGGCCAAAGGTAGGCATCTACCATGCACAGGAATTCTCATTCCAGATAAATGATGGAGAGCTCGGGCTGTTTTTGTTTTGCGGTAAGCACCTATGCCTAGGAATTGACAGAGCCCGATTTTTGAATTTCTCATTTATTGCTTTCTGGTGCTTAATAGAACTTAAATGCGTTCTACTCAAAAAGTGTTTGAGCGTTAAATAATTTGTTGATATTTTGCTAGAGGTTATCGATCATGACGGATCTAATGAACATGTGCGCGGCTAGGTGCGGCACATGCGTGCGCTTATGCAATGCACAAAAAGCCATTTTGTTTGCTATAGGGCGTCTGAAAAACTCGCTCAGAAGCTATGAAAAACCTATTCTACCAACACAAAAATTATGCCATTAGAAAGTAGACACTTTGGGCTATCCAACCATGTGCTTTTCTTCAAATCAATATTTTTGACGAAGATCGGTATTTCTGACCCGGGAAGGGGGGGACCCTTAATACACTATGAAACGAAAATAAACGCGTTATCTCGTCGTTTTGTTGAAACATATTAGAACTCAAGAAAGGAGTGGTAGGTATCATTTTCTTACACTATCAAAGGTTTGTACAAGTGATTGTTTTGAGGGAATTAGTTATTCAAAAACTGAAATCCGTTCAAGTACTAGCTCTGTGCACCTTCCAATCATCATTCTGTTTTGTCGATACACATAGTATATAAATATCATTGATTTTAGAAAATTTTTGTCATATTTGTAATTGAACTGTACTAGTTTTGTCTTTCGCCTGCACAAAATATTAGAATGTCCAAATGCTGATAAAATATTCAAAAATTTCGTGCGATTTCTTTTGGAATTCTCGACTACGGTTTACTTTCATTTATCCCTTTGTTTGGTTTTTACGCACCTATATAAATAACGCTGAAAATACAACTGAATTCTGTATGGTCATTTCTTCATCAGATGTTGTGCATACTTGTTCTCTTGAAGATTTTCAACAACATCGGCATGATATAAGTCGACGTCCAGAAATGAACGCAAAAATGTATAAAAGTTCTCTTCGTGAAAAAACGATAATATAAACTTCTTTGTGAATGGTGAACGAAACTTATCGAAAATCGTGATACTTTTTAAAAAGATTCTAACAGGTTCTCATCTACTAAAAAAATCTTATGCAAAATGAACCCTTATCTTCAGGAGATCTTGATAAATTATAGAAAGATCTTATCAGTTCTTAAAATTTTCGGATCTCATGATCTTAGTCAGCTTTCTCTTAGATCTTAGACAAATGTCAGCAAAATCTTTGAAACATTTCAATCAGATTTCCCTCAGAGATTAACAAAGTTCGATTACGTTTCAATCGAGAATTGCCTTTAGAAATCGTGCTATAACGTCTCAATATTTTAGGGATATCTGTTATTGTTTTATTTTTTTCGTTTTTCTTATGGATTGTGAGACTGAATAACTCCTTATCATTTCTTTCTTACAGAGCAAACATTTTCAGTACTTCTTCTGGAGGCACAGCATATAACTCATTTTGGTTCTTACAAAAAAAACTTGTGCATTTTTCTATTATATGATACAATGTTTTTTTCATTACTCAATTATATTCAAATATGTATGTTTTATTACGAAAAAATCAACATCGCTTAGCTCATGTCTAATTTAGATCAAAGTCATTTGTTGTTAATTGATTATAAACCGAATCATCATTTCTTCTTGATAACCGATAACTATTATCTCCATTTTGTAAACGTTGTCGATAGAAAACTACAATTGTTCCAATTAGAATCAATGTAAAACTTGTGACTAAAAATATAATTATTGGTGCATAGCCTTTGGCCGCTAATACTTTATTTTGATTTTTCAATTGTAAATTCAAACTTGATAACTGTTTTTGAGATGAATTATCCGATGATAATAAAATTGAATTTAAATTATCAGTCTCTTGATCAACTACTGCTGTCTGATTTGTTGTACTTTGTTCTGGAATATTAATGACCCTAAAAATAAAAGAAGAGAAAGAATTTTCAAGTGTAAAAATGTTTTTAAAGAGAACTCTGAAAATGTTTTTTATTCTTTTCATTATTAAAACAGAACTTCATAGATTTTCATTCAGAATAGAAAAGCAAAAAAATGACTGATGAACGGCTTACACGATTTATGGTTAGTGAGTTTTTTGATCAAATGATCAAATATTCAACAGAATTATCAAGTGATAAGATTATCAAAGATATTCAATCATTCAAATTGACATTATTAAAATATATTCTTGAATCAAAACTTCAACTAACATTACTCAAAGATAATTTTGATCATAAAGAACGTTATAAATCTCGTTATGATACATCTGATATGAAATTAAATCTTATTACAGAACGAATGAGTTATATAAAAAAAACAATATCCTATGATACAACTGAAAAATGTGTTCAATTAATTGATACATTATTTGAACTGTATAATCCTAGTGAAGAAAATGAAAAATATATTCAATTGTATTTATTTATTTTTACTCTAATTAGTGTATTAGTTGCACTTACATATGAATTAATATCTTATTTTATCAAAATATTAGTGAATAAAGATGAACAATTACAAACATTTTTGTGTTCGTTACTGTCAAATTGGAAAGAGAAAACAAACGATTTAGAATCAATCAAATATGCCACTACAAAATTGAAAGACTATATTATTGTTACCAAACGACAATTATGTAAAACAATCGATTCGATTAATCTAACTCAAGAGGATATTATTTCCCAAATGAATATTGACGACTTAGAATTATATATCGTTCAAATTTATCAAAATTATTGTAATTTGGAAATTATTTTGCTGGGACAAAGGTAAACTCTCAATGTGAAAGACACTTATGAACAAGTTAAAATAACATCTTTTTCTTTCTATGTATTGTAATATTTTATTTCAATAGCTGTGACAAGTTGAAGTATTTATGTTTTAGAAGTTGTTACAGTTTCTGTCTCTCATCTCTCATAGCTACGATCTTGTTGACAATTGATCAGATTGAGTTCTAAAAAAAACTTCTAAAGGTTATTTTCACTTAAGATTAATAATTCTCGCAAGAAAACATCAGAAGCAATTCAAAACTTCAGAAGATGACTAATTTTGTTACCGCTAAACGTGAATCACGGCCAGATGTGCATGGGTACCGTTTTTCTATCCGTACCCGACTTATGCCTAAAACTTTTCTCATTTTCGTTTTCCAACTCAAAACTTTTGTTTTTGAGATGTCAAGATATCATACGTTTTCAAATAATGAGAATCTCGCTTACTTCACTAGTTATAAGGCAAACAACTGACATCTCAAACAATTTTCTCTGTCGCTTTTACAATACATAGTTGTTATAGATCTGCGTTTCCTACCAAGCGAAAGTAGACATTAAGGTAATTCAAAAATGAAAATCGAATTTAATGAAAAGTACAGTTTTCAGGCTATTATTACGTAATATTAAACAATTTACTCAATAAAATACCAAAATCAATCGAAAACCTAAGGATATATAGTATTTAGGGCTATTCTAAACCTGTTTTCTATAGAGTCAGTATGTTCAGAATACTATTCTGAAATTTATAAAGTTTAGATCAACCTTAAAAGTTCTTACCCTATATGATACACACATATTTTGAGAAACAGCACTAGAAATTATACTACCGTTCATTTTGAATGGTCATTGTAACAATTTTTGGTAGTTTTTGACAAACAAATGAAGCGTGTTTTGCACACAAGATATCATCACATTGAATGGTAGGACTTGCAGATGATGAGTAATCAATGTAACCACAACCAGTCATTGTACGTGCGCCTATTGTACGTGAAAATGATACTGTTTTATTTAAAATTTGATATGTTTCTCGAAATGTTTTATCACAAACATCATAAATGGCATTTGAATCGGGTACAACAATTTTTTGATTATTTTCGGATGAAGCATATTGATAAACAGTTTGTTGTTGAGCATCATAATAGACACCTACATGAACAAGCCCACTTGGTGTATAGGTATTCTTCATTCTAAGTAGAGACCGAACCAATTGGATCTGAATCGATTTATCCGGGACAAATAGTTGTGCTTGGTCTCGTTCACATTCAGTAACAGCATCCATCCATGATAGTTCGTGTAGATTCACTTTATAGCAATAATCACCGACGTAATGGTAATTTTCTATATCACAACTTAATTCATTAGATACATTAACATCCTGTTTTATTGGGTCTGTGATATTGATTTCTGATTTTTGCTTTAGTTTGTCGACACATACCGGCATAGCAAACGTGGTTTCACATTTATTTGACTCTTCAATACATCTCACTTGATCACCATCTGTTTCTGTGATATATTTAATAACAATGCAATGTTGAGTAGTATCAATTGTTGAATTTGTTGAATTCGTGTCACTACATGATTTCAGTATGCGTTCGGATATGGTGTTATTATCTGATTTCGACGTTGTTCGTGAAAGCCAAAAATATCTTGTATCATTAATATATTTAAATTTATAAAATATGAGTATATGATTCATTAGACGTGTGTGTAATATACTATCCGGCAAGATGTCTTGAATTTCAACAATATCATTTACTTCAGCTAATGTGCCACCATGCCCTTGACAATAGACTATAGCTTCCTGATAAGTCTTTGTTTTAGAAGAATAATGACTATAAACGCATTGATCATAGTTTTCAGCCATTTCATAACCTAAAGGTAAAACGCACACACTCATAGCAGACTCGTATATTGTAAGGTTCTGGAATACCTGCTGCTAATAATTCCTTAAAGATACTCGTTCAAGCCAGACTAACTAGTAGTTTATATAGAACTCAATACATATTGAAAACAGGAAACTTTTGATAAATTACGTGGTGCAAATAACACATAGAGTATCTAAGTTTTACATATAGAAAACTGAAGTTTTCTTGAAATATGGCGTATAATAAACTAAGACTTTGGAGCAAGTAGTAATCTCATAGCGAGATAGAGACGTTGATCAATAACTCAGTGAAATTTCAGCTGATTGAGCTGAACCACACATAAACATTCTGTCAATGTCTCTTTTTCTTCATGAAATATACAATTAATTTTTTTTTCCATGACTCGAGAATACAATCGCATCCATAGACCGACGTCTATAGTATATTTGTCAGCTACTAATAAGTGAGTTCTTACTTACCATGTTTACATTTTGGTTGCATTATATACAGTGAATAGATATTAGTCTGTACACTTCCACAACTATATAAATAATTTCCATCACATGCTAATGCACAATTTTGTCCTTCGGTTGCTATTTCTCCCGTTTCAGCAAAATATTGTATAACATTGATATTAGTACATAGACACGTACGATTTTGTATAAGAGCATATTTTTGTTCATAGGTTGAACAGAGAGCCAAACAATGTCGTGGATGCATACGATATTTGATTGTAAATTGGATTGTGGGTATTAATCGAATAGAGTTACTATCAAGTGTTAAACAATCACGGAAAGTGAAATCGGGATATGCTTCGGCTAAAATGAAAAAGCAATTAGAAAACTTTTATCTAGAATGTGGTCTTGAAAAAATGACTTCACCTGGTGTTTTGAGATATGTATAGGTACGACGCGTTTCAACCATTTGAAATATAACGATAATGTTTTTATCACCACATAGTTCATGAGAATTGCCTAAAACGATGAGTTCTTCAAAATATATAGTTTAATACGTGAACTTACCGGAGCATGGACTTCCGCATAACTTTGCTTTATATTGTTGAAAATTTTGTGTAATATTCATAACGTTTCGATTCGCAACACAATAACACCTATTTATATTGATAATGGCCAATTTTGTTTGTAATTCTTGACATGTGCTTAGACAACGTTCATGTGTCATCTGATTTGTGATTAATGCTGGTAAATCCATGTAAAATGGCTTCTGAAAACATTCGTATAAACTTTGTTTGATAACAACTGGATTTGTTTCACATAGAACGTGTCTTGGCTGTGAGCAGTTATTGCGTTTTGTTGAAAATATATCTGTCAGTTGTGAAACGGTAATTTTGGGTTTTTCATAACCTTCGCTTGCTCTCGTTACTAACATGCATTTTTCATCAGTTGAACGACTACTATTTTGAACTGATTCCTTGATATCTAGTACATAATATTCATAAATTGAAGCTGAAAAACTTTTACCGTCTCTTGGTAATAATTGGTGGCGGCCATTGCGAGTCGATGCCATTGTATCATAATCATAATCAGAATCATAGTATGGATTTGGATTTGAATTTGGTAGTACAGAATCTTGATCATTTTCATCTACTTCTAAAAAAGGGAATTATGGTTTACGAAGAAAGTTCGCCTAGCGCCTCTACAATTTTTCGTCGAAATCTATTTCATTATTATCTATTTCAGTTTTGATGCTAATCGCGAATCTGATATCCGTTCGTCCTCAAAGGCCTTTCGCAACTTCTGCTCAAATTCAATGCCTATGGAAAATCATTATGAACTTCTTTTGAACAAATTCTTCAGGTGCTAGATCATAGAGCATATTAATTTACCTATGTGTACAAGTTATTGGAACTAAGGAACAAGTTTTCACTGATTTATGATCTTTTTATTGAAAAAATACTTCAGTGACACTTATGTTGGTTGGACGAAAAACCAAATGTTCTTCGGTGCGCACAGATAAATCAATGTACTAGAAGGTATAATAGATTTTAACGAAAAATAGAAGAGACATTTGCGGAGGCTGTCCCGTTAGACCTGCAACAATACTGTAGTATATTCTTACTAATTTCTTTTTTATCTTGCATTATCTCTTCATCCAACAAATAGAACCCAAGTCTTGCTTCCCATTCTGATTCATATTCTAATGGACGTCCAGATGGCATGGAATTCATTTCTGGTGATTTTATATCATCCACCGTAATTGGTGATCTTGTTGACATTAAATCAATTTCATTTCTGTCACGATCATTATTTGAAATGCAAATATTTTTAGCTGTCGAGATCGACTTTTCCTCTTTTGTCATTTTAAAACAACGATTGTTTATGTCAATCCAACCTTGTGCACAAAACTTTTGTAATTGATTAATAACAAGAATATAAGATGAATTATCTGCTGCTGTAAATCTTTCTAATGGATTTGCTAAACATAGTCGATAATCACTTCTATACGATAGTATTTCTGTTTCTTTTAAACATCCATTCAATACAAAATAGGATTTTTTTTCTGCTGTTTTTATTCTATTCCACATACTTCCTCCTGGAAACATGAAATATGACGAAGCACCTACCGATGATGTTGTTGAACTTGATATTTGTCCACATTTCCACGTTATATTAGGCGTTATAGAATTGTCAAAATTAATTATAACACGATCATTATACAATTGTAATTTATCTAATATTTTTAAATATTTTGACCATTCTATGGATCCATCATAAACATATTCTTTCATTGATAATGGACATGTTGAAAATGAATAATAACTAGAATATTGTTTTATTACACATTGATTTATTTCTGATATATATGTACTTTCATTTGGACATGAACCATTTAAATGATAAATAGCAAATATTTTTGGATCACTTGTTGAACCACAATTATACATATCATTACCATTTGAATTTTTACAATATTTATTACATGATGAATTTGAAAGTACATCAACATATAAATCACGAAATCGTTGTCGAGATAATGTAGAAAATGATGACTGATGAGACATACAGATACATGTTTGTTCACCATTAAATGCTAGAAATTCTGTTGTAATATTTTGATCAAGACATTTTGCTGCACATTTTTCAATTGTATTTAATGTTGACATTTGATCAAGTAACGATGATGATTTTGTCATATCAATAGTATTCATTTTAACATTATTAATTGCTTTCCATTTTTCACATGCATAAAATTCAATTTGATAATGTAATAAATGACCATGATTTAAATAATATGATTTTTTAATATACATTGAATATGTATCAATACCACCACATGTATCCACTTTATTACGTTCATCGAGAGAAGTTGCACACATTTGTCGACAAAGATTATCACTTCGTCTTATTTCATGTTTCCAGGAGGAAGTATGTGGAATAGAATAAAAAACAGCAGAAAAAAAATCCTATTTTGTATTGAATGGATGTTTAAAAGAAACAGAAATACTATCGT